CGTCCAACGATATTATTGATTTCCCTCACCACGCGGGTATCGCTCACTTCCGCATAATCCTCGTCGAGATTACGAGCCAAAATCGATACGCGCCGGGCGCTGATAAAAAATTGTTTGTCGACGCGGACAACCGGTCTCGTTACGTCGCCGAAATTCCAGACAGCTGGCCGGCGGCGCAGCAAATACAATCCACGACGAGCAGCCGGAGAATCGAGAGATCCTTCGAAGTGCGCGCACCGTGTATACGTAACGAGCCAACGAGTCTCGTCTCACAAAGAAGACTCGTTGGGGACAAAGTTGCAAACACGTGAAAGTTCGCGTTTCGTTCGTATCCCTCCTCCCCCCACCGCCGTCAGCGCGAAACTAGCCAAGCGTCGGCGGAAAAATTGGGCCAAAGAAGTATATCGGATGGCGTGGCGAAATTTCGCGGACGAGGAAAGGCCGAATTCGCGGCCCAATTCCGTTTTTGTCCAACCTGCGATCGAACAGAATTCACGTCATATCGAGAGTGATTTGTTTCGCTGCGAAGTTGGGCCACCACGCGAGCACGGTTTCCGACAGAGACGCGACTCGCAGGTCGATTAGTTCCGCTGACGCATTCGGCGAGAGATTGTTTCAGATCGGGCAGAGAAAAAACGTATCGGAACGACGGACGGGGATATTTCGACGATTGGTCAGAAATAATTGCATCTTTTTCTAATATATGAACGAATATCTCAGAATTCAACCCGACTGTCCTTTCTGAGAGGACATTGTACTTAAAGCTTGCTCTTTTCGTAATTTCCCGATAATTATAACAAACGTATACATTTGGTGTTGTACGATGCTATCTGAACTATAAGACAGTCTTGAATCAATTGACACTCATTGGAATAATTCACATAATTCACATGAACTAGACTTTTTATTGCTTCTTACGAAAGTTCAAAAAATGGAGGAAGATGTTACTTTTCCAGAGATTGAAACTATGTATCTATTAGCTTCTTGTATATTATACTTGTTTCAGCAAAGCCGCAATACACGTTGGCGATTGCTTTAAATTTAAATGATGTCACATGTTGGAAAAGACATAATCAACAAAATTTCGTACAAAATACCATTTGAATGATGATTTGAATATGTTTTTCAATGCTGTACCATTTCAATTGAAGCGATGACGCTTCGTAAATAAACTGCTGATAGTTGATGACAAAAGAAATGTTTGTCGAGGGCAAAGAGTTAACTAACTTTATTTTGAACCGTAAATTCATTCTGTGTGTGTAATCAGATATCTGACTGTTCAAGATTGCCTTGGGAAAAGAAAATACACGATCTCGTTAACAATTGTTTGTCTGTTCGTGTCGATTTCAAAATGCAACGTCAAGAAAAAGCACAATTTTCGTCACATTTTGCCGTGCTATCTCTGAAAAGGGGAAAAAACACAAGCTCGTAAAAAATTGACGTGTGTAGCGAAGAAGCCTTAAAACTATGGCAGTAGTTTTCAACGTTGGAGTATCAAATCGTTCTTGAATTTTTCGTCGAAAAAGATGGGAACTCTTTCGAACGTGGAATCACGAAGTTACCTGAAATATGGTGAAAGATAATCGAACAGAATGGACAAAATGCATTGTCTAACAAAGCTTTTGTTTCTCGTGAAAAATTTGCACACACACACACGAAATGGGAGTTAGTTTTTGACCAATCTAGTACTTTTAGTATCTTTACTAAAAAAAAAAATTTTTTTTCAATAGCATAAAAAAATTACTGAAACTTTGATTCTTCAATTAGAATTATTCATGGAAATTCATATTAAAAATACATACATCTTGTTGTTACTTGGTACAATTTCATTAGCGTGTTGCATCACATTAGTGATGTTTGCGTATTTATTTTACACGCCTCCAGTGCCTTCGAACAGGGAAAGATGAACACGAGTGACATAACAACGAACGTGTTAATAAATTCACGAAAAATCGTGTCAAGGAAAGCATCAAGTTTCAGCGAAAAGCTTCGAAAGTTCCAACGAAGGGAAAACTTAGGGAAAACCCGAAGGGAGGGGGAGCACCCTTAACTTTCGTCGCTCGCAGTCGGACGAAAATACGGAAACTTATTTAAAAGAGCAGTTTAAGATTAATTGCTAAGCAACGTTTGTAGAAACGTTCGTCGGCGGTTTAAAAAAAAAAGAAAAATGACAAAGAGAAAAAGAGAAAGACTGAAAGAGATTCGATAATGGATTCGCTCGCTTTGAGCGGCTCGGTCACAGAGTATCTCGGCCACTTTTGTCAAACGAAATTCCTCCGCCTTTGCTGTCCCGGAACGGGACAAATTTTCGCGGCGAGGAAGCTCGATAAAAGGGAGGAAAAGTCGTCGGAAGTCTGACAAAGAATACGTCTTTGCGGGGAGAAGGAACTTCCGGCTCGCTCGCCGCCGCGGTAAATCGCCCGCTGTTCTTTCGCAAGCGAATTTCTCACGGAGATAGCAGAGAAGAGACAAGAAGTCGAGCTGACAGCCGGGTTAACTGTCTGTAATCTGTCTTTGGATTCACAGGCTTGGCAGATGAGAATCGGTAGATTGAAAGTGTTAGTGTGACGATATTCAACAATTAAGTCGTGTAAACGCCGAGAAATTGCCCTGTTTGTTTCAAATATTAAAAATATTTGGAACCAGAAAAAGATCTCGATGCTCTTCGCTCTTGGAACTTTATTTAAATACTGGATATACTTGTAAGTATACCGTGGCCTTCTATTTTTGAGAATATAACTTAAAAAAAACCGAATAATTTACTATTAATGAATATCTTATATGTTTCTCCGCAGTTTCGGCAATTTCGTAAATTTCCCGCAAGTGCGTAAAAAATTCGCTGCTTCGACGTTTGAAATTTAAATACTTGACATTCGTCAGATCGAGATATTCCAACGTAGGAGATTGGAGAACTCTGAGAAAAATTTGAACGTTTGTCAAATCTGAAAGTTTCTCGGCGTCCTCGTTCGGCTTTCAACGTCTCGTCGTATCGAGGAGCGTTTGTTTGACGCCATAAAAGCCTTCCGCGTACAACCCTCCATCCAGTCGAGGGTTGGTCCCAGGAGACGAAAATCGCGTTAGCGGAGTAAAAAGGTCGGCGAATTGTTCGCATGCCTCCGCTGTTTCGAGGAATCAAGAAAGACTACGAGAGCGTGGGCAAACTTGACGGAATAGCGCTCTCGCTTCGCTTCGCTTCGCATCCGATAGTCGAGTTTTTCTTTTTTTCCCTCCCCTTTTCTCGAGTGCCGCGAACGAACGTATGAACAAGGCAAACAAAACTGATGGAGCTCTCGCGG